TTTAGCAAATGGCTGCAATATAACAAAGAGTGAAAAATTGAAGGGGGTCTGAATACTTTCCGTACCCACTGTATATATATATATATATATATATAATTTGTAGAAATAATTACTGAAGTTTTTAGAATTTAAGAAAAGTTGGTATTTTAAAAAATATATTACTTGGTCTTTTTCACGTTTCCATTTCCCCCCCATTTTTTTACATGACATAAAATAGCTTATATATTATATATAAATTACTCTGACAAAAGCACATCAAATTGTTAAAAGTTTTAGAAGTTAAGAAAAATAAAGATGATGTTAAGAAAATTAAAGATGATGGAAGCAAATAACAAAATTACTAAGAGTTTTAGAATTAAAAAAAAATTGTATTGTATATTCTGTTTTACATTTTAAATTATTAATGCTAAGAGTAATTAGTTCTAATAATAAACATTTAGTTCGGTTATGATTTCTTTTTCTTTTGTCAAGTCAAAACGATTTTTGGGGGACTTCTTTTTATTTGTATTTTTTAACACTTTTTTTTGTGGAAACTGAGTGCACTGTGTTTCTCAGGTGAGGTGCCTATCCTGAACGTGAGCTACAAACCACAGAAGATCAGCCCCAAATTTAAAGTGAGTTTGAGTTCGTTTTGATCCATATGATATACATCAGTCTGCAGGAATCGTGACGTTCGGTGTGTTTTCAGGGCAGCGTTCGAGCCCTGCTGCACGATAAGATCAGAGACGCGTACACACACCCTCAGTTCGTCACTGACGTTATGAAGCCCATGCAGATTGAAAGCATCATCGACCAGGACGTGAGTACACCAGCGTTAAAAATAGCTCTAAAATATTTTATCGCCACATTGCACTGTTGTATTCCAAGTAGGCAGTATGTACATGTAATTAATATGTTTACTTTCCGGTTGTTTGGTACGATAAAGGTCTTAAGGAGTTTGTCTTAGTCTTTACATTAAAATAAGGAATTGAATTGAATCTCATTAATTTAATTGTTCTGAATTTGAAAATTGTTCCTCAATTGTTGTTTTTTATACTTGGCTTTTATTTATCACATTTTTTTTTTCCAGTTTTTGTAATTTTACTATTCGAACTTAAACTTACAATTAGTTGCCAAGGCAACATTTCTAATTACATTTTTTAAGTTTATGTATATATAATTTTAGAATTTCAACATTTCAACAAGTCTTCAATATTTTTTAATCTTTATTTGAAATATAATTCTATTATTATGAATACTATTACACCTTTAAAACTGTTGTAGAATTTAAAATTTTGAAAATTTTCAGTTTTTCAGTTTTTAATTTAATGTGAAGTTTTAGTAATTTTAGTTATCAGTTTTTAATATTTCCGTTTAGCTTTAGTTTTTTTAAGTTTTTCTAATTTTAGAAGTTTAACACCCTTAGTACTATTATAGTATTTATCAATATTTCGAATTGGCTTTTATTTTTATATTTTCATTCTGATTTTTTTATTTAATTTTTTTTTGTAATTTTGTAATTTGTCTCGTTTTTCTATTTAATATTTCTATTTAACTTAAATAGTTTTTGTTAACAATAACAACACTTAAGTACACCACACAGTTTAATAGATTATTACATGCTTATTCAAACACACTGATTGTGTGTCTGTAGATCCAGAATCTGTCTGGCGGTGAGCTGCAGCGTGTGGCTTTGGCTCTGTGTTTAGGAAAACCTGCGGATGTGTATCTGATCGACGAGCCGTCTGCGTATCTGGACTCTGAGCAGCGTCTGATGGCTGCCAGGGTCATCAAACGGTAACATCTGCAACACTTTCATGGCAGTTTTTGTGTGTTGGATTCACTATTTCACTGATTCTTTTCTTTAATTGCTGTGCAGATTCATCCTTCACGCAAAGAAGACAGCATTTGTGGTGGAGCACGACTTCATCATGGCCACTTACCTGGCGGACCGAGTCATCGTCTTCGACGGAATTCCATCCAGAAGCACTACCGCCAATACGTACGTCCTTTATTTGCTCTGATAACCTGTGTGTAATTGGTATTACTTTTAAATGAACAAATGTATAGAAAAGACATATATTTTCTGTATTCCAAGTATTGTATCATAAGTCTATGAACATGTAGGTGATTATGAAACTCATGTTAATGCTGAAATGTGTTTCCCATCAGTCCACAGACTCTGTTGGCTGGCATGAATAAGTTTTTATCGCAGCTGGAGATCACGTTCAGAAGAGACCCAAACAACTTCAGACCAAGAATTAACAAACTCAATTCCATTAAGGTAAACATGCACATTGAAACAACTCTGTACAAATGAAATTTGCAGATTGTTTTCTTCAGGATTACATTTAACCAGTGTTATTTTATCATCACTGAGAGAATATTATGGTTTTTATGAATATTTTGAATTAGGTTTTATTTTTATATTACTTCTTTAATTTTAAAGTTTTAGTTTAGTAATTTTGTTTTTGACGTTTTTATTCATTTTTAGATACGTCAATATAGTTTGTTTTTATTTATTTTTTATTAAGTTTTACTTATTTTAGTATCAAAAATAAGTATTAAACTAAAAGAAAATGGGTATTGGCAACTATATGAAATACAGTAAGTTTATTTATTTTTTTTATGTTTTATTTTATTTCAAGTATTTTTATGGTTTTAGTTTAACTATAATAACCCTGCATTTAACCCAAAATTAATTAGGCTTTAGACTGAATTGACATCAACTCTTGATAATGAAGTTAAAATCAAGTAGTCAAGTCGTGTGTGTGTGTGTGTATTAGGGCTGCATGATATATCGAAATTATCAAAATATCGCAATATGCATATCGCAAGGGCGTACGATATCTGAATCATTTTAATAATAGGCTACTTAAATCAAAACGTTGCAAAAGGTCAAAGTTTTAGTTCGACGCATATAGCAGAGAATTGCTTGATGTTAAAAAGTTAAGTGCAATAAGTTGCAGAAAACAAGTCTTTGCCGTCTCGTCTTGCTGTCTGACTCACACCTGAAGCGCACGCACAAGCCGCATCTCGCGCAGCGTCTCTTCAGTTCTGCCGCACACGTGCAAAGCGCGCGCACACAGAGAGACGCGTTTCAGACGGCGCGCGAACACCGAGTTGATTCGTCTTTCGCATCTCCTCATGTTTGAACAGACACATACACACAGAATTGTCAATAGTACCCGTCTCGACGATCATTCTCATAAACGCAGTCGGTTATGTTTTAAATGAATGTAAACAGCTGAGAAAGAAATTGGATGTGTATCATACTGGATCCATGCAGTCGGATTTAAAGGGACAGCAGCCTATAAATACGTGCTGCTGAATATCCCTAATGTTAATCAAACAACAAAACAGCTATAACAAAGATTCATCTCTATAGTGTTTGCTGTGGTATGTGAAGAAGTACTTAAAGTGTATGGAAAGCAAAGTCACAATGATGTAAAATTAGTGTCATTATTTTTTATTTTTTGTATGTTCACACTGATGTTAAAATTACATTTTCTGATTTGTGACATTACTTTTTATGTAATGCTAAAACACTGCTGGTCACTTTTTGTAGTGATTCTTTCTTTTCCTAGAAAGAATGTGAAACAAATTGGTTATATCATTTTCATTTTTAAATATTTTAAAATATAATTGAAATTGATTTTACACACTTTAAGCAATATCGTATCGCATATCGAATATCGCATTTTTTAACAAGGTATCGCATATCGCATTTTTCTTCAATATCGCACAGCCCTAGTGTGTGTGTATATATGTATATGTATGTTTGTTTGTATGTATATTGTATATACATATACAGTAATAAACAAGAAAATAACAGTATTCATATTTAGCTATAAAGCTGCTCTACAGAGGACAATAGTGTCATTATTCAATTAAGTTTAGTGTTGGCAATTAATTTTTTTGGATTGCGACCATCTCAAAGCCTAGTGAGCCTCTTGGCTAGACAGCATTTTTGGGCCTCCTAATAGGGGTTTCATACTTCTGAACCTCCATAAATGCTGTCGAAATAGGTGGCTTATTTGATGATCTTGATATAGTGTCAGTATGTGGACATTAGCTTTGTACCTGTTAATGAAAAACCTGTTTTCTGCTTTCGTCTTTAAGGATGTGGAACAAAAGAAGAGTGGAAACTACTTCTTCCTGGATGACTGAAGGTTCTATTTCACAGAATTCCATAAATTTAGCCGCTCAATATGACATCAGACCAGCGAACGCTGGCATTGTGGACTTAAATGTTTACTGAATTATCGCCACCATCACCACTTCAAACATACAGCTCTACTCCTCTCCTCTTGGCCATTGGTATGATTCCACAAAGAGACGAGATGGATCCTCTGAGATGAGGAGAGGACATTATTTGAGAATAAAACCTTGACAAATGTATGTTTTTGGGTGAATTATCGTTATTAACAACTGAAGTTCTTTCTGGTCACAAAGTAGTGGGAACCAATTTACACATGCCAAACATGCAACTGTATGTTTTGAATAAAATATTTGAATCATGTTACACGATGTGTTACATATTAAATAACCAGATTTCTCAAGATTAGGCTTTTGCCTTCGGCAGTCTTGTAAAGATGCAACTGAAACCGTTCGATATTAAAACGCACTACCAGCTACACAAAACCTGTTGTGTCAATGATATTGGGTGACAAGTCTGTGCAGCGAGATTGTTTTGGAGTAAACTGACTTTAAATGGAAAGACTGCAACTGAGGAAGATTGGCTTGTATTTGGTGTCACAACTACATGTACTTCCCTTACATGAAGGGAATTGCAGTTAAAATTGGCTTGATGTTCTTTAGCTTTTGTTTGGTGTAGTTTGGACATCTTTCTGTATGTACTTTATTTCCTCTGATAAGAGCATATTTGACACAAATGAAAACAAAAGGCTCTGAGGAATATATAGTCCAGTCAAGCAAACGGGAGTTGTACTTGCATGTCTATTGCCTAAATATATTAAAGGGAACTGCAACTGTAAAATGAAAAGACAAGATATTCTTAGGCTTTTTATTTCATGTATAAATGAGAAAGAGAAAACTGAGAAAGATATTCTTAAATCTTTTATTTGTTTGGTGTTAAAACCACATCTTTGGATCAGAAATGTATTTTATTACAGGCATTTGGCATCAACATTCATTCAGCAGATACCCCAGAACGCTGTGGGGGGATGATGGTGCGCAATAAATTAAAGGGAACTGCAACTGTAAAATGAAAAGACAAGATATTCTTAGGCTTTTTATTTCATGTATAAATGAGAAAGAGAAAACAACTGAGAAAGATATTCTTAAATCTTTTATTTGTTTGGTGTTAAAACCACATCTTTGGATCAGAAATGTATTTTATTACAGGCATTTGGCATCAACATTCATTCAGCAGATACCCCAGAACGCTGTGGGGGGATGATGGTGCGCAATAAAGGTGCAGTCAGAAACTCGATCAAAACCAAATTTTCAACAACAAAAAAAGAAAAAGCAAAACTTGACAAAAAGGCACTTTCCTGTGTCTGGTGATATGATAACACCATTAATTGAACTGAATTGTTTACGAGCTTTTCAGGAAAAATCTGACTTTTAGGATAGTCCTCTGAGAACCAGTCTAAAAAAATACCCACATTAAAAGATGTAAATAAAGATTTCAGTGTTTACAGGAAGTGCACATAGATCTGATAAGTTGTATACATTCAAAATCAATATAAAACCAATATTTTTTCCCTTTTGCCGTGCATGTAGGAACAAGAAAACAAAAATATTTATAAGATTTTATTACCTATGCAAACACACAATTACATTTTTACAGGGGTTTAGTGAAATAGGAACAGGTGAAACGGTTGCTTTACTTTTAATCAATGTGGGGAGAGAAAATGCCAGAAAACAGTTAAAAGCATTGTATACATTACTAATCAATATCATTTACCAAAAGCCACCCAGAAACTCAAAACAACAAATTTTGTGTATCTGATATCGTAAACCAAAAAAAATGGTGTATATCCAGCATCACGGATATGGTAACTGCATCTCTACTCTTGGCCCTGCACCTCGTCTCACATAATTTCTGTAGAATGACTGTTCATCTTGTCTGCCTCGGCCAGAATAATCTTTCCAGCCACGATGGCTCCTGCCTCGATATCCTCCTCTGTCATCTTGGCCACGTCTTCCTCCACCCCTGTAGGACTGGCTGTAAAAGGACTGAGTGGTGCTGAGATCCACATTGTGAAACTCCATCTCTTCCACCGACCACTTATCATTAGGAGAATAAGGGTGAATGGAGCGAGAAGGGTCTTCTGCAATAAGACCAGCATGAAGGCTCTTTGGGAAGAGTCCCCCTTGTTTTCCTAAGTTCCCATTGGTTAAATGGGTCAATCCTGCCATGTCTCCTTGCAGTGGGCCAATCTGAAAAGGTTGTGCAACAGGACAATGTCCACTAAAGGGTGGAGGTTCCATCGTGGCCACTGAAACGGGAATGTCTAAAGGCTTGTAATCACCACCACTCAAATGAGGTTGGCCTCCAGGAAAGCCAGCGGTATTCTGCAAGGACCCAAACTGGGGGTTCACAGACCTCTGGCCATTCCCTTGACCTCTGTCCACTGTTGGAGGAACAAACGGCAAGAAATCCATCCGGCCATGAGGGCCATGGTTTAAGGCTTCAAGAGGCATTGGAAGTGGCATACGGTGGTACCCAACAGATGACGGCGGATACATCTGATTCCCAGGGGGTGGATAGGGTGGTGCTGAAAACTGCACTGGAGAGTACGACCCAGCATAGGTACTTAGGCCAGAGGAAGCTGGCCAGGCCATTGGTGGCCTTTGTGGCAGCAGCATTGGAATGGATACAGGGTGATCATTGTACGCTCCCAACTCTATGGGACCAACAGGGCCGCTACCAGATGCTACAGGTGCAACAGGAGCATGGCTGTCCAATGAGGTGTCAGGGATGGAGCTCAAATTTCGAGGAGGAGAAGGGTTTTCTGGTTGCCATGAAGTCACGGTGGGGTTAGCAGGAGAGTCCGAGGAAGGAGGAGGCCCTCTAAGGTGCATCTGATAGGCTTGGTTTAGCGCACCCAGATAAACGATGGGAGGAAACATCGGTTGAGAGTATGCCTGAGGAAATTGGGAGTACATTACACTTCTATGTAATTCCATAAAGAGTAATAGTCTTTAATAAAGCAACAAATGCAAAGAAGAGTTCTCAAAACAGTGTACCTTGACACCAAGGTTGAAGAAGAACCTGAGGATATTGATATCTGAAATAATACAGAATGCATTTCAAAGATTAAAATCATTATGAGGAAGACAGACTAAATAAACTTGAATAATGGGTTATATTTGAGAGAATATCTTAAATGTTAACTCATGCTGAAACTGACAGACTAGAAAGGGTGGCATTAGGGCTGCACGATACATTGAAAATAAACCACACACGATTTGGCGGTTGGCTGCAATTTATGCGCAGCTTGTCAGTGAAGTATGGTTGAATGCTGCTGCATCTAAAAGCCAGAGGGCGCTCTCGCACAGAAACTCCAAATATTCCCCGCAGAAGTACCACCATAACATGCGTAGTTCCAGGAAATGCCTATGGGCATCTTTCTATCACTGTTCTTCAAACCTTCTCAGGTATTTTCATGATAATAAAGTATATTTATAATGATGATGTTTGACGAGTGTTGCTTTTACAAATGCACATTATAGGCGACTCAAGCAGCACTTCCTACTGATCAAAGAGCCGTGCTTCACGGACATGCTGCGCATAAAAACATAATCGCAGTCTTTGCGATATCATAATTGCACACTAGACAGGTCGATTTACGCGAGATTTAGTGTTAATCATGATTTATCGTGCAGCCCTAGATGGCATAGCAACAAAGACAACAAACAGCTTAAACAAGTACAATTTGCCTGAATATCTAACAATTGGCTGCAAGAATCAACAATGTTGTGGTAGAAGGGAAAGTTTTTTTGGTTGTTTTTTTATATACAGTACACAATGGATCACTAGGGTCTTTATTACCTTGCGGTAGGTCTTCTCCTTTTTGGGAGAAGGAATAGGGGGGCAGCGGTTCCACCTCTCCCTTCTCGTTTTTGGGGAACCCTGGATAAACTGGGTCCTGAAGGAGCTGAGACCATTGGACATGAGGATAGGGGAGTTGTTGGGGTTGGGATGGGAGCTCAGGAGCAGGTGCTACACCTGAAGGAAAAGAGAAGTTCTGTGAGAACTCTCATGGAACTTTGATCAACTGCGTTTACTAGAAAGTCAATATTTACAACAATTTTACTTCTGAAATAAGACGCATTTCAAACAATGCCACGTCCGAAATTTAACTTCATTATACAAAACTTACCAGACGCAGGCATGGCTGTTTCACAGGGTCGTGGATCTGATGAGTTGAATGAGGACTGAGGCAAGTCTGGGGGTGGAGCATGGGCAGGACCAGAGGAAGGAGAGATGGAGGTGGGAGGATCATAGGAAAGAGGGATTGGTGTCACAGTAGTGTGAGGGTCTACAGTTTTTTCGCCAATTGGTGGACCACTGCTTGCATCAATGGGAAGGGTGGTAGAAAATGGATCTGGGGCATCTAACATAGGGGCAGGAACTTGAGCTGGGGCAGAAACAGGTATTGCAGAGGCTGGTATACATGGTGGAGCGGAAATAGAAGCTGGTGAGGCGGTTTGAATGGACGGGGTTGGTTCAACAGAAGCACGTGGGACTAAGCCAGAAGGGGCCAGAGTAGTTTGAGTTAGGATAGCAGCAGGTACTTGGACAGGGGTGATTTGAGATGCAACCGAGCTAATCTGAGATGGTGTTTGAGTGGGCTGGGAATTAAGATCAGGAATGGGCAGAACTACGGTAGGCACTGGGACAGTTTGTGATGAGGGTTGGGTAGGTTTCGGTGCAGGCATAGATTGAATAGTGGCAGGGGTGGTACCAGAGACCGCTCCTGCCACAGAGATGGACTGTGATGGGGCTGAAGTGGACACCGGAGCAAACTGACTGCTGTCTGGGCTTCGAGCAGAGTTAGCCTTAGGTGGGATAGGGGTCTTTTTAATTGCCTCAGGAGCAGACTGATTAGGACCAAGGGCTTTAGCAGATTCAGACTGAGATGAAGATGGGGCTTTTTTGGGGTCAGATGAGACAATAACAGCAGGAGGTGGAGAAGGAGAAGGAGAGGCAGGGATGGGTTTCTCTTGTACGTTCTCTTTTATTGTTGACGAAGATTTCTGCCCTGGTTCCTCAGAAACCTTTATCTAGAATAGAGTATAAACCAGTGGCTGGTTAGTACAAAACAACTTAGATTAACATGGAAGGGGCTAGATACATTGCAGTGGTTCTCAACTTTCTCAAACCTTCCTGCAGAGTTTAGTTCCAACCTTGATCAAACTCACCTGCCTGTAATTTTTCTAGTAATCTTGAAGAACTTGATTAGCTGGTTCAGGTGTGTTTGATTATGTTTGGAGCTAAACTTTGTCTCAAGGAAAGTGGACCTCGAGAGCCAGAGTTAAGAACCCCTAATATATTGCTTGCTTTGTTGCCATGCACGTGGACATGGTGGGAAGCAGCGATTCCCAGACCTGGTCCTACAGTACCCCTTAAAAGTACACATTTTGGAGATCTCTTTCATCTGACAACCATTTCAGGCTTTGAAGTCTCTACTATTGAGGTGATGAGTTGAATCTGGTGTGATGGATTAGGGAGACATACAAAATGTGCAGGGTTGGGGGTAGTCCAGGACCAGGGTTGGGAAACACAGGTGTGAAGGACTACAACACTTTCTAGTATACTTCGTTTTGGCAGAACCTAAAAGGCATAATATCTACAGCATGGGTGTCCAATCCTGCTCCTGAAGGGCCAACATCCTGCAAGGTTTAGCTCCAACACACTTGCC